ATGTCTGAGGGAAATAGGGGTGTGGAGGCTCTTCTGGTCATTTGTGTCTCTAGTGAGCAAGACAGAGTGTGTGTGTGTGTATGTGGTGGTGGTGTGTTTAATTGACATCTAGGGAATAAATGATGTACATGAAGAGGAAGAGAGATTACCTGCTCTATTACCTGCTCTATTTCCTGCTGGCAGCCCAGGCCCTTGTTTTCACACTTATCCCTAGTACTTCAGCTAGAAACTAGTACAACAAATCAAGGTATCTCTGATCTTCAGCTTTTGTCCAAGTTGGGGTGTGCATGTGTGTATGTGTATGGAGCAGGAGGCTGAAGTAAATCTAACATCAAATCTATGTTCTTCACTTCTTGCTCCATTCAAATATTTCTTGAGCACTTGGAGCAAATAATCTTTCTTTTACTGCTTAAGACTTTCTGGTGCCTCCTTTGTAATTTCCAATAGAGGCTAAGTCTTTTTGTGGTTTTTATGTCCACTGTGCCAAATAGATCCCCCTTTCATCTGTTTGTTGCATTTTTAAACCTTTGAGTCATTTCACTGTTAGCCTCAACATTGGCTGTTACCTTGATGCAAATTGATGCCATCTACATTTTCTATCTGCTCAATCCTTCCTGGCTCCCTATGATTAATTCTGCACAAAACAAACTTCCTATGAATGTGAAGGTTGAGATTTCTGTTTGGCTGCAAGGATGTGGATCACATTTTCTCCTCTCTTGTCCTTAGGTTAGTCAGAATGTAATTTTGCTAAAGCTCAGTGCCCTGACACTGCTCTTGGCATCTACTTCCACATGTACTGCCACTTGTAGAAGTGTTATAAAGCCTCATACCACTGTCATCTCTTTCTTACTGCTCAGTTATGTGCTTTCTTGAAGAGTTCTGTTTTTTGTTGTCTGAATCCTCACCTTGCTCTGAACTTCATACAGCCCATATAATGTCTGTCTTCCATAGCCTCTAATTTAGGTCTCATCAGCCTGTACTTGTGCTGTGCCATGAGGGCAATTTTCTCTTCTTCACCTGTTGAGTAACTCTGTATCTTTGAAATAACTTTTTTGGGTTTTTTTTTGTTTCCTATGTTCCGTGAAATTCTTCAGTGAATTAATTGCATTTTCAAAGTTCAGTCTTCATTAATCTGGGTGACGTTTACTGTAACACCCTTGGTATGGCATATCTTGCACATCTGTCCTGACTTGTTCAGCTGGAAGCTCAGAACTGGTGTGACTCTAGTCATGGATTGATAGATGACATCAGGCTTTTTACATTAGAAAGGGATGGTGCATTTCTTATGGCCATTAGCAAAAGCACACTTACAGCCGTGCTTTTTTCCTTTGGAATAACAAAACTCAATCCTCGCTTTTATAGTGCTTGTGCATCCTAGGAAAGGCCTTATGAGGTTTTCCTTGAAATCTCCTCCAGAGGTCAGCTCATCCACAGGATGTATTCATACATGTTAATATTCATGCTCGTTCATGTGAATGTTTTGTTTCCTTGCCTGTACTTTATTACATAGTGGTATCTTTATGCTTTGCTACTCAGCTCCTTTGAGACTGATGTATGATGTATCTAGAAAGCATTAAAGCCCTAGTGCTGATGTCTTGAAGAGCTCGATATAAACTTCTGCTTGAGCTCTGATTGTGGACATGGAGGACAGAAATAGCTCTTTAAAGACAAAGTCACCACCCTGCAAAACATATTTAAAAGCATACAAGCATATTTGTGATAGAATATAAACCAACTGATACTCCCATTATTCTTTTTTACCTGCAGCATAAAGAAGTAGCTTGGTAACCACTCTTCATGAGAATATCATTTTTCAGCATCCTTCAACATCTGTATAGATCAGCGATATATTCATTTCTGCAGCTGTCCCTCAGCTCTTCAAGTAAGTCAACAGCTCTAACAGTAGCAATGCAGGAATACCCAAACAGGCAAATAACCTTGCTTTCCAGCAGAAGTCTGGCCATGGGCAAAGGTCCCAATAGGCTGCAAAATCAAGGGACAGCAAAAGAAGTGCTGAGCTTTCCGTCTGTATTAACCTTTGTGGTGCTGTGGCCTGTTTACTACTCATACTCAAACTTGCCAGTTGATGAACTTGCTCATACACCAATGCCAACTGCAGCTACAACAGCAGCAGTGGGATTTGCATGTGCCACTGCAACCTCAGAGGGGTACATTTTCTCTCCTGCTAGGCAGAACTTGAAGGAGCAGCAGATGGGATGAAGAAGTTAAAAAATAGAACACACAGATCTGGAATCTGAGGTCCACAAATCTGGATCTCAGATTTCCCCACTCATGTCTCCCAGCCATTCTGTGTCCTGGGAAGACATCTACTTTTCATTCTTAGAAAACAAAGAAGCTTCATATCCTCAAAGATCCACACAGATCTCGGGTGTGCGTCCGGGTGGAAAGGTGACTGTATGCTCTTGGTGGTTATGTCAGGGCTTTTTTTGGCTTTGAGGAGAGTCTGGCTGCCAATGGCTCCTTAGACTGCTCTTCCAAAAGAAGTGTTGCAGAGTTAGGACAGAAGACGACTTCTGTGGAAAAGAAACTATTAAAAAAATCATTTTTGGGGGGTAAAGTTTAGTGCATTTCTTAAATGATAAGAAATACAACAAATAAAACCCAGTGAAGCAGGACAGGATTTAAAATAGTGCACAAGTTTACTGGGAAGTTAGACCACAGACAAAAAAAAAAACGATTTGCATTTTGGTAGTTAACCTTCTGTGGGACACGTGGCTCATATATAGAAATTTCAAAGTGAAATCTGATTTGGCTGTGCTTGGTATTTTGCATAACTGCAAGGCTAAGCTGAGTGTATCTCCGTGGTGGAGTGCTAGCCTGAACTTGCTGGAGAAAGCTCTACCTGATGCTCAGGAGACCCTCGGGAAGAACAGGCATTTACTTGCAGAGGACAGTTTAATCGAATGATTAGGCTTCAGCCTGATAGACAAAATCTGCTTTAACAGCGAATAAGGTTTGTGTAGTAGCCTCAGAAGGTACAAATTATCAGAACCAAGAGCAGTTTGTAGTTGCTGGTTTCCTTTTTAAAAGCTTAATCATTCTAAATAGCTTCAGCTGCTGCTTATGTTTCACCTTGAATGAACGTCTCATTTTTCTTTGCCCGAGAGAAAGCGTCTCTCTGGTCTTGTGTTTCTTCAGTACAGCGTTTCCTTCTTTCCTTGAGGAGAAAAATGAGCTGGAGATTCCTACGTGATCTGTTGAGTGGAGTGAATAAATATTCAACAGGAATTGGAAGAATTTGGGTAGCAGTTGTGTTCATATTCCGCTTACTGGTTTACGTTGCAGCCGCAGAAAACATCTGGAAACATGAACATGATGAATTTGAATGCAATATCAAGCAGCCTGGTTGTGAGAATGTCTGCTTTGACCATTTTTTCCCTGTCTCCCACATCAGACTTTGGGCTTTGCAATTAGTCATGGTCTCCACCCCTTCACTGTTGGTTGTTTTTCATGTCGCTTACCGAGAGAACAGAGAGAAACGGCACAGACAGAAACTTTATAAAAGTCCAGGAGACAGAGATGGTGGATTGCTGTGCACTTACCTCATCAGCCTTATCTTAAAAACGGGATTTGAAATAGTTTTTCTTGTTCTGTTTTATAAATTGTACAATGGATTTGAAGTACCTCATCTTGTGAAATGTGACATAAGACCATGTCCCAGTACTGTAGACTGCTATATTTCCAAACCTACAGAGAAGATGATTTTCCTCTATTTTCTAGTGGCAACTTCATGCTTGTGCATTGTATTAAACCTAAGTGAATTGAGTTACCTCATTTTCAAATATTCTATAAAATGCTATCTGAAGAGGTACGTAAAGAAACATCAAGGCTCAAAAAGTGATTGTCACAAATCGGAAACCATCAGTCACAGCAGAGCAGCAGCTGCAGGACAGTTCCCCAGCAGCTCCCTGTCCCTGCCTCTGAATATGCAAGATGAGTGTGAAAAAAGTTCCTTGTCAACTTGAAAGAAGGGTGGAGAACACCTTCCCGCTGCACTGACTGTATTTGGCCAATTGCTTTTCCAATCCATGCTTTACAGAACAGAAAAGATAGTTATGTAGGAAATACTTTTTGTCTGTTAATTCCCCCTGACTTGAGCAGATAAATTCAGTCACATTGTGGTTGTCATACATAGAATCATCTAAATCTTTTCATGTTGAAACAAGAGGTATACAGATCTGAAAACTCCATGAAGATCAATATAAATGCAGATGCTTATGATAAATCACACCGAAACAATTGCTCAAAGAGCTGTGTTTTGAATATTACACAGGGTTGCTTTGGTACAAGCAAAAAGAGGCTTTTTATATGGACAGCTGGAAGAACCTGGGGTTGATGAAGATGCTGAACAGTAAGAGGATGTACAGCTCTGGTTGGGTGGGTGGATCTGATGATGGTTGAAACAGTGAGTGTGAGGCGCTGGCATACAGTGGTGGCTGGGTGGGCACAAGCCCATCCCACTGGACTACTGCAGAACATCTCAAAGTAAAAGAAGAAAGAAAGAAAATGAGAAGTGGCAGACACATCTAGTTTAGCCCATGGTGACAAAGACAGGCCTGGTTATTTAGCTATTTGTGGAGCACTTCCTTCTGGAGGTATTTGAGCCCTTTACGGTTTTTAGGGTATTTATCATCAGAGCGCATCCTGTAAGAAAAGGTACTTGCTCAAACTTGTGCAGGCAGCATGTACCAGAGTTAACTCTTGGTCACCTGCACCCAGCAGCTCCTGAGGCTTTTGACTTTTCTTCTCCTCCGTGGCTGTGGCATTTAATGGGCAAAGATCATTCCCAGTTCCCCAGGATCTGGGTGGTGAAATGTAGCCCATGGCAAGCCAGTAATCCTGGCATTCAGTAGCCTGGAATGTGGTCCCTGTACTAAGGCTAAAAATGCTGCTCCTCCTTCAGTAGGCTTCTCTGTCATAGAAAGCCACCAAAAATATGAAAAGCCTCCAGCAGAAAAAAAGTAAAAAAGAATCATCTATTCCCTCCCCCCAAATTTCAGAGTGTCTCAAACATCGCACACCTCTGCTCTTTGTTGGTTGGGCTAACAGGAGAGGGACAGAAATTAGCTATGTCTTCTGCTGAAC